TGTTTCAAGCTTCCTCTTAAAAAAAAAATCATTTGGTAACAGCTTTATTATCTGAAGACAAAAACAAGGCTTAAAATTCACTTAAGTGCTCAGCCTTGTGCTCCACTAATATTCCATCCTTTTGCGGTCACAAATTTTAGAAGCAAAATGTTAACAATGAATCAAAAGGCAACTTTCACATATGCTGAAAATATCTGCTTCAGTTAAAAGTTGTTTTTTTACAGAACTGTATAGAAATAATTTTGAAAACAGTTTCAAACAGAGAAGATGCAAACCACAACAGACTCATAAATACAGAGAACAAACTGAGGGTTGATGGGGCACCGGAGGGCAGGGGAAAATAGGTGACGGGCACTGAGGAAGGCACTTGTTGGGATGAGCACTCGGTGTCATATGTAAGCAATGAATCATGGGAATCTACTCCCAAAACCAAGAGTACACTGTATATACTGTATGTTAGCTAACTTGACAATAAATTATATTTAAAAAAATAAATACCACAGAGTAACTTATTTAAAAATAAATAAGTAAATAAATAATTTTGAAGTCTGTCATTCTATCTCTAATAAATCAGTTTAGTATCATATTTGAGTGCAAAAAAATTTTTAATGTTTGCTTATTTTTGAGAGAGACATATACAGAGCCCAAGCAAGGGAGAGGCAGAGATAGAGAGGGAAACACAGAATCAAAAGTGGGCTCCAGACTCTGAGCTGTCATCATGGAGCCCGACACAGGGCTCGAATTCACAAACCGTTAGATCATGACATCAGCCAAAGACAGATGCTTAATTGACTGACCCACTCAAGCACCCCTAAGTAAAAGAATTTCTATAATCGTTTTAAAAAGAGGAACAACTCGTTAGCAAACTGAAAAAGACTAAGTTTTCTTGAATTTTAGCTGGAGATGCTTTCTACAAAGTTAAAATGGTCACATGTAAGATACAATATTCTTTGTTTTTTTGGTATAAATGACAAAAAAATTTCCTTCGCACATATTTTTCCTTCTGAGAACAAAGGAAAAAAAACAGCATTAAACCAAAACATAATGCTAAAATGCAAATGATTTAAAAATTTTAAAACTGTATTTTTATTTGAAAACTTCTCTTGAATAGCTTCCTTAAGAACACGATGAGCATGACTTCCTGCATAAAAGTTAATAAAAATGAGATGAAGTGTTTTGAGAAGATAATGCCATAAAGACTCTAAAATGCTAAGTCCTCACTCCTTTATAGTAGTCTTGTGTGGAGGTACTAAATCACAAACATCTCAGAAATGTTATGTCGTTAGTTCCCAATTTCTGAAGGTTGGACAATTTTAAAAATATGAGAGAGCAGCATAAATGAATTCAACTTTGGCATAAAAAATGTTCTATCTGGCCAAACCTAGTTTTAGTATCTTGTAACCATTAAGCAGAAAGTTTAAACCTTATGTCCATTTTAAGTCCCTCCTGAGGTTTAGAGATTGAAATACACATTCTAGGGGTACCTGGGTGGCTCAGTCGGTTAAGCGTCCGACTTCAGCTCAGGTCATGATCTTACAGTTTGTGGGTTCGAGTCCCATGTTGGGCTCTGTGCTGACAGCTCAGAGCCTGGAGCCTGTTTCAGATTCTGTATCTCCCTCTCTCTCTGACCCTCCCCTGCTCACGCTGTATCTCTCTGTCTCTCTCTAATAAAAAAAAAAAAAAAAAGAAAGAAAAAAGAAATATGCATTCTAGACTAGTAAAGGAAAGGCCTGCTCTTCATAGAGGTTTTTTAGCAGAGGTTACAAAGATCAGGATAGAATATATAATAGTAAAAGAATAATTTTTTGATGAATAGAGTAGCCATTAGCTTTTCTTACCCTGAACTACATTTTTGTAAAAGTTACTACTTCAAATCAATAATTAAATGACAGAAAATAGGTTTTTAGAGTGTTTTAAGTAAACAAATCCATAATTTCTAGTAAAAAAGGAAAACCTATTAAACACTCCAATACACACTAAACCCTCCTGTGGGCAAGCCTCCATGGAAAAATATAAAAAGATTTAGTTGGATTTTCCACTCAGTTAAATCAGTCCTATAACTAATGAAATGATGGCTCTAAAAACCTCATAAGAGTTAACACTATTTTAATCACTTGTCTTAGTATCTGAGTTAGAAGAAAGACTTTTTAGAAATAAGAATTTAGATCCCATAGAGTAGTAACGTAAGAAAATAAAATCATAATCTGCTCATCTTCCCTTAAAAAACAAAGTGATATCAGATTATTTCTTTAACTTAGAAAAAAAGGGTAAACGGAGTAAGGCACATATAAAGATGTGTAATTAAAAGATAAAGTATACTTTATATCATGTGCTGCAAAGGCGGTACTAATATTTTAAAGCAAAATCCAAAAATTATGGTTCCTTAGTGAGAACTGTGGCAGAAAAGCAGTATGTTCATTAAGTTTTTCAGGAAAACAACTTACATTATCACCTAGTAATATTTACTATTACTGGCCTCATGAGGCTATGTGGTCACTACACAGAAATATAAACACACTTGGAATAAAATTAAGAGACTACTTAAAAGAGCCCTTATTCTATATGGCTAATTTTTTAGTACTTAAATGATATAATGGAAGCAAAAACTAGATTAAAAGTATTCCACAATTGTCCAAATAGCATTTCAAGTTTCTCTAATTTACAACATAATACAAAATATATATTTAGTACATAAACCTAGAAATCATGTATGAGGATGTACATTTCCCAAAATGTATCAAAGAATATTCGAATAAACATACTCAAAGGAAAATGAGTTACAACTAAGACTACTTAAGGTCTTATTAACAACTAGACTGAAACCAGCAATTAAAGGACAACAGTGACATCTAGTGGACTAGTCAAATACAGGCCACACACATTGTGGATCAAAACATCTTTAGTGTGCAACATATTTCAACCTGCCTGAGGACTTCCACGACAAATCTTTAATTTTAAAACAAAGTAAGTCAGCTCTTCTCCCAAAAGGCTTCTCAATATGAGTGACCCAATCATGTGATAAATACAAAATGTTTAAGAAAATATAAGCACATATCTCAAGTCTTTAAAGTACTAAACACTGATTAAATGTATCATATATGACTAAAGGGGCTAACAAAAGGTCCAATGTAATTATATAAATAATAAAAATAAATAATAATAAAAAGAATTTAAAATATTCTGAATAAAAAAAGCACTGGGGTGAATGAAGAAACTTACAAAGAAAATGAAGAACTGATCTATTTGTGAATTTAAGTATAGAACTACACATTAACCAGTATGGGCAGACAAAATAAGAAATGTTTTTAAACTAAAAGAAGAATCTTATTTGAGACAACTTTTCAAAAACAAATTAGTTCTCAAGAAAATTTATAGATTCATTCTTTAAAAGGAAAATCGGGGCCCCTGGGTGGCTCAATCGAAGTGTCCAACTTCAGCTTAGGTCACATTTGGTGAGTTGAAGCCCCGAGTCAGGCTCTGTGCCGACTGTCCGGGGCATGGAGCCTGCTTTGGATTCTGTGTCTCCATCTCTCTCTGCCCCTCCCCTGCTTGCACTCTGTTTCTTTCTCTCTTAAAAATAAATAAAAGCATTAAAAAAAAAAATAAAGGAAGGGAAGTGCAATAAGACCAGGTGGTCATCTCAAAAAGCAAGAAACTTAACTCAAAGAACAATGAAAAATCAAAACAAAAAACCAAAATACCTGTGGATGACAATGTCCTTACTTATTCTTATTTGCCAATACATAAATTTCACAAGAGACCACCACACTTAATAAGTAAATGATGAAAATATATGTGATTTTTATTAAGCATTTTATTACTAACTCAAGGAAGAAATATGAATGTAGAGACAGGATCTTATAAACACTAAGTCAAATAAAAGTCCAGGCCACAAATTAGCTAAAAGTCTTTCAAACATCACAGGTGCTTCCAGGTCTCTCAGAACCACCTAATTTAAAAGATTTTAATGATTATTTGAGCTCAAAGAATTTCTGACAAGGAAAAGATGAGAATGGCCAGAAACTTACAAAGTTCAAACTCATTGAAAGTATCTGAAATGTAAATATTTTGGGACTAATAACATGCAAGTCACAAAAGCATTATCCTAATAGCTTCAAAAAGTTATATAGCATATAAATAAATTGGGATCTATTCAAACAATGGACTGTAGCTCCAGAATATAAATGAACGAAGTACTTACACATGCAACAGGGATGGATTGTCAAAAAATTAGGCTGAATGAAAGAAGCCTTACAAAAAGCTACAACCTTTGTGATTTCATTTATATGACATGCTAGAGCAGGCAAAACTGATCTACAGAATGAAAAAATGAATGAATGAACAAATGAATGAACAAATGAAATTAGAGCAACACTTACCTCTGAGAGTAGGATAGAGATGGATATTGATTAGGAAGGAATATGAGGGAATTTTATGGAGTAAGTATTCTGTATTTCAATAGGAGTTGGGGTTATACATATGTTTGCATTTGTCAAAACTCCCCAAAAAATACATATTTAAGACTGTGCAAAATGTAATAAATTGTACCTTAAAAGATGAACCTGAAACAAGTATTTATAACTCCAGTTATCATATATCATGCTGGAATATTTGGAGTAATATGTACAAATATCTACAACTTATTTTGAAATGCATGTAAAAGGTATATGAATTGATGGACAGATTATAATAATACAAATATAGCAGAACATTAATTATAGATAGAATTTAAGAGATGAGTATACTGGGGTTCACATATACAATTCTTTAGATTTGATTGTATATCTAAAAATTTCCATAATAAAACACTGGGAAAAAATTAAGATAACAATCAGAATTCAAAAAAATTTAAATATAAAAAGTTAAAAATGTTTTCTTATATATTAATTTTCCTTTTATATATTAATATTTTAATCTGACTAATCTAATGTCAAGTGTAACCATTTTCTAAAGGGCAAGAGTTACAGGATAACATATTTTTAAAAATGTGAAAGATATACCCGAATTTCTTGAAGATTGTGAAAATTATTTCCGACTCGGACCGAGATCTTGCTTGGAGTATAGCTTTCATCAGATTTGTAGTCTGCATAAATACATAATGTCTTCACTGTTGTTTTTCTTCTAAAAAGCAACAAAATAAAAACATGCTCTTTATCACATGGGAAGATTATGCCTGAAACATCTTCCAGTCGTAGTTCACTCAAATGAGTACTTACTTCAGTAAATAATTTCCATTTCTTTTCATTCTAACAATGATGAAAATGAAGAACAAGTAAAATACAGATACACATTCATACAGGCATCTCTTATCTAGAACATGGTCAAGAAACAGATTTAAGCAAATTAAAAACATTTACACTAAAATAGGTACCTTAATGTGCAAACAAGCATTAAGAATTTCAGTCTTCTTCATTTACATTTTATAACAAATAAGTTACTCTACAAGGCTTGTTTTTCTTTACTAGTTACTTAATTTCCTATGTCAATACTTGTAAATAACTAGCTAAGTAAGAAATTGAGTCCAGAAAAACCAAAATCATTTATAATATAATTTTATAATATATAAGTATATATTATAACACATATTCTATAATAGTATAGTTTTAAAGCAAAATTTATTATGTTATACAAGAAATAAAATTCTGTTTTTAAAATATATATATCTTAGGAAGATAAGCAAAGACTATATAACACAAAATTAATCTTAGAAAAAAAGCCAGTAGCCAAAAAACATGAAAATGTTTTAATCTCTAATAATCAAAAAAATAGAAATTAAACTACATAGACATTAGTTTTCTAATTCATACTGAAAAATATTAGTGACTGATAATACCTAAATTTGATTAGAAAAAGTTACTGTCATAATGAGCTGGTAGGCACACAGCCTTTGACCCATGAATTCAACTTCTAAGAATGCATTAAGAAACAAAAATAATACAGGTGCTTAAGAAAAAAATGTTTATTACCCTGGGCTCAAATTACTGAAAAATTATAAACAACCCAAATATCCATCTCAATAGGTAATTATTTAAATAAGTTATATCCATTCAATGAAATCCTATACAACTATTTCAAATAATCAGACACATATATGGGTTAGGGAAAAAAGCAGATTACAAAAGGTATACAGTATACACAGAAGGACTGCATTTTGGGGAAAACAAAAAAAATATTTAAAGGCATATACACCTACATGTATGTATGAGTATACATTACATATATTTTTATATAAAGACATAGATAGAATCATACAATAATAGTAAAAGTGACTATTTTGGTGGAGCAGATCTATGAGAGAGCTTTATTTTCTTTATGATTTATATATTTTCTGAAAAAAATTTTTTTACATTAAACATGTGCTATTTGGGTCATTAGGGGAAAAAAAAACACTAGACAATTTTAAACATCAACCAAAAAAACCATTAAGAAGTCTATTTAAACATGCTTTAAAAGTTAAGTTCTGGTATAAACTGGCACTAACTTATTAACAATGAGCTCCTTGAACAGAAGTAGTCTGTGTCAAAAGTCAACCAATAAAAACAGCAGGGGATCTGTAGCTCTTAGTGAAGGGACCAAACTTCTATAGCCCAAGCTATTCATCAAAAAGGAATGGGGAAAGTTAAGGACTTTTCTTCAAATAATAAAGACAGATCAAGATGTAAAACATTAAATACCCACGAACTGCTGACAGGATAAATACCATTACCAGGTTTTCAGAAGAGGCCAGAGGTATCAAACTGACATCTTTCTCTTTCTGTTGGGCCAGGAAGGAGACATGAGAGGAAGCAAGGGACGAGGGGAAAATCTGGAGGGCACACAAAAGATCTTTTCCTGATGAGCCTAGAGCAGGCAGTGAAAGGTCTTTCTTATTATGGAGAGATCAAAGATCATGAAGATTACTCTTGAAGACTTTTGCTTTTCTTTTTTAACAAAAGTAGATCTAAAGGACCAAGCTTTCTGCTGCTCAGAGTAATTTTTATCTCCAAGTTATGAAATTCAAGATAACTTAATCACTGGAACATTTGAAGATAATCAGGTTGAGCTTAGAAAAGCAAAGAACAATAACAATATGAATAATTATAAAAACAACAGCAAGAGTAGAAAACAGCAAATGAATACTTTGGCCCAGAAGTAAAGCTTTTTATGTATTATTTAATTCACTTCTTAACCTTGGATACAGAAGCTATTCCCACCTTAATATTACTGATTTAAAAAAAAGAAAAACAATAACACTCAGGTTAATAATAACTGGCTGAAGGTAAAAATGCTAGTATGTAGGCATAGTTGGAGTTCAAAGATGTGTCTATCTGCTTCACATGACCTTAACCACTATCATCTTGCTGTTAATTAATTATACTTAACTTACTCAACAGTCAATGATACCAATTTACAGTACTATGTACATATCTGTAGTTTTTTAAATTTTATCTGCCATAAGTTAAGATCCATGTATTCCCAGAAATCATATTTATAATTTATGCTATATACATAATTTAATTACATTTGCAAAAACTACTACTCTAAAATGTATGCATAAAGCCTTTTTAAAAAATTTTTTTATATTTTTATTTATTTCTGAGAAAGAGAGACACACACAGTGTGAGCATGGCAGAGTCAGAGAGAGGGAGACACAGAATCTGAAACTGGCTCCAGGCTCTGAGCTGGCTGTCAGCACAGAGACTGACGCAGGGCTCGAACCCACGAACCGCGAGATCATGACCTGAGCAGAAGCCAGATGCTTAACCGAATGAGCCCCCAGACGCCCCCACATAAAGCCTTTTAAAATTATTTATTACCTTTATCTCATGGTGAATGTAAAAAATAATATTGCACAGAAAATTTACACATGCTATGTGTCAAACAGCAATGTATTGCGGGAAGATTAAAAGCATAGATTATGAGACATCATGGCAGCTACTTAAATTACTCAAATCATCATTATAATAATAGTCACCATATTCTGAATGCTTATTCTATGCCAAGCATTGTGCTAAACTCTCAGGGTCAAGTTCTGTAAGAAAGGGAAGAGGGGTAACATGTCCCCATTTCTGATGACATAAGTAACAATCCTAGCCTCTTTATTCCTCACCGAGGACTCCCTTTCTGCTCAGAAAGAGCTGCTGGCAGGACATACATGCTGACTTTGTTCCTTCATGCCACAAATTTAATAGGGGCAGGCTCTACCTAGTCTGACACCTTCATGACTGGATGGGCAAGTCCGTTTAATTCTAGGGTTCAATATTAGCAAATACACTCAACTGCAGATGTAGGTCCCTTTCTCAAACATCAGCTTTGTCAGTTTTACAAGGATGATATTTTGGTCTTCACCTGCTGACTCCTGAATAATTTTTCAACTCACTGGGAACCCATGAAATTGCAAGAGAAGACATTAGTGACAGATATTCTGGGTTGACAACCTAACAGCCCCCTTTCTCTTCTTTCTTCATGGCATTCTGCTAAAAAACTATATTCCCTAGCTTCCCCTAAAGCTAGATATGACCACATGACTAAGTTATGGCCAATTAGATTTAAGCCAAATGAAATTCACCCCAAAGGAAACAATAGGAATAAGTGATGACCAGGGATTTAACAAAAACAGATATAAATAAGATATCTAAACTAGAAGACAACAATTTTAAGAATACTAGCTAGGCCTGAAAAAAGCAGGAAAGACAATAGAGACTCTCTTACTGCAGAGGTAAAGGAACTAATATCTAGTCAGGCCTAAGTTAAAAATGCTATAACTGAGATGCAACCCTGAATAGATGACACAACAAAGAGAATGGATGAAGCAGAGAAATGAATCAGTGATACAGAAGATAAAATTATGGAAAATAATTAAGTTGAAAATAAGAGGGAAAGAAACGTTTCAATCACAAGGTAGACTTAGGGAACTCAGAGACTTTTTAAGACATTTGTATCACATGAGTCCCAGAAGATGAAGAGAGAGAAAAAAGGGGCAAAAGGTTTGAGAAAATTATAGCTGAAAATGTCCCTAATCTGAGGAAAGACACAGATATCAAAATCCAAGAAGTACAGAGAACTCTCCATTAAATTCAACAAAAACTGACTAATGATCTAGACATATCATAGTCAAACTCACAAAATACACAGACAGGAAAGAATCCTGAAAGCAGCAAAGAAAAAAAGTCATTAGCCTACAAGGGAAAACAGATCAGATTCACAGTAGATATGTCCACAGAAACTTGGCAGGCTAGAAGGGAATGGTAGGATACAACCAACATGCTGAATGGGAAAAATATGCAGCCAAGAATACTTTATCCAGCAGGGCTGTCATTCAGAATAAAAGGAGAGATAAAGAGTTTCCCAGACAATCAAAAACTAAAGGAGTTCATGACCACTAAACCAGCCCAGCAAGATATATTAAAGGGGACTCTCTGGGTGTGGGTAAAAAGACCAAAGAAACAAAGACTAGAAAGGAACAGAGAACATCACCAGAAACACAAACTTTACAGGTAACACAATGACACTAAATTCCTATCTTTCAAAAATCACTCTGGGTGTAAATAGACTAAACGCTCTAGTCAAAAGATATTGGGTATCAGAATGGATAAAAACAAACAAACAAACAAGACCCATCTACATGCTGCCTATAAGAGACTCATTTTAGACCTAAAGACACCTCAAGATTGAAAGTGAAGGGATGAACCATCTATCATGCTTATGGACATCAAAAGAAAGCCGGAGTAGCCATGCTTCTATCAGACAAACTAGATTTTAAACCAAAGACTGTAACAAGGGATGAAGAAGGGCATTATACCATAATTAAGGGGTATATCCATCAAGAATATCTAAAAATTATAAATATTGATGTCCCCAACTTAGAAGCACCCAAATATACAAATTGATTAATAGCAAACATGAAGAAACTATCAGTAATAATACAATAATAGTAGGGGACTTTAACGCCCTACTTACAGCAATGGACAGATCATCTAAAAAAAACCAACAATGGCATTGAATGACACACTGGATGAATGGACTTATTAACAGATATATTCAGAACAGCTTATCTTAAAACAGCAAAATACACATTCTTTTCAAGTACACTTGGAACACTCTCTAGAACAGATCACATACTGAGTCAAAGATCAGCCCTT